CCCTCCAGCTGGAGTGGTGAGGCCAGGCCAGGTGGTCCTAAGTAAGGCCATGCAGCTTGCACAGGAGCCCGGCAGCTGCCTGGAAGTCCCAGGGGTCACATAGAGGTCTGGGGGTGGAGGTGCTGGGGCCGGGCGGGGGGAGAGAGGCTTCCGGACAAGCAGGGTGGCGGAGACAGACGGATGGGTGGGAGGTGCTGATACAGCAGGGGTGGCAGTGATGGGGGGCCCACACCTGCCCCCCAGCCCTGCTCTGACCCTCTGGCCCTAGGTGCTACGTGAGCACCACTGGCCAGCCGACTCCACCCCTGTCACCCACGGTCACATCCCCGTCCACCTCCTGGCCGAGGAGCCCGAGGACGAGTGGACCATGCGGGACTTCCAGCTGCAGCACGTGCGTACCCGCGAACGAGGGGTTGTGACTCCTTGGGAGGTCGGCTCACCTCCTGGGCCCCTGACCACCCCCTTGCCCAGGAGGCTGGAGGTTAGGGAAGGGTAGGGAAGCACAGGGAAGGCTAAGGGTCATCCGAAGTTGGGTGAGAAGGGACGGTTTCTGCCCTGCCCTGCACCCGGCTCAGGGCCCCCGCTCACCCCACACCCTCCCAGGCTGTGACCTCCTGGGGCAGCAGTGCCCCCCTCCGCCTTGGGCCCCCTGTAGGCAGACTCCCCGGGAGGCTGGAGGAGCTGAGGGGAGCACCCCAGTGTGGGGGGCGCCACCCCGCCCTCAAGATCTGGGACGGAATGAGGGCTGAGCAGAGGACAGTGGCTTAGGAAGGGACAGTGAAGCTGCTACAGTTCACCACCGGCCAGACCACAGCGCCCCCGAGACCCCCAGCTCCCTGCTGGCCTTTGTGGACCCGGTCGGGAGAGGAGTGGGGCCTGTCCTGGTGCAGGCAGGCGGGGCGGGCGGGGCGGGCGGCAGGGGGGCTGGGGAAGGGCCCCGCTTCACAGCCCTGGGCCCTCTGACCCGCAGTGCAGGTGTGGGCCGCTCGGGCACCTGTATGGCCCTGTCAGGGCTGCTGCAGCAGCTTGGGGAGGAGGATACAGTGGACGTATTCCACACGGTGTGCTCGCTGCGCCTGCACCGGCCCCTCATGATCCAGACCCCGGTGAGGGCAAGGCGGGTGGGCTGCGGACCCTGGGAGGGGGTGGGGCAGACGGTAGGGCCACAGGGTCCCCAGGGGCCAGGGAAGGACACTCACCCTCCTATCGGGGCTTCTGTTTCCCTTTGTGCCGGGGGTGGGAGGTGGGCGGGCCCCTGCCAGCTCTGACGCGGTGGGGGGGGGGCGGGCCCACGGGAAGGCTCCCCAAAGCCCCTCCCCTGCCCCGGGCCGTCTGGCTGGTCAGGACCTGGAAGTCTCCCTGCTGGGCCACGGTCCCTCAGCCGACCGCCTCCCCTCCCCCACCCCCCAGAGCCAGTACATCTTCCTGCACGGCTGCCTCCTGAGCAGGGTCCTGGAAGGGGCCCCCCGGCACCTCTGAGTACATGCAGCACCGGGAGCCTTGCCTGGGGGGGGCAGGGTCCCCGTCCCTCCCACCAACGGGCTGCCAGCTCCGTCCACGCAGGGCCGAGGAGACCAAGAGCAGGAGCTGGGCAGCCTCCGGCACCCCCGACGCGGCCCCCGCCCAGGCCGCCGCCCGTCCCCGTGCGGTGCTTCCGGGCGTGCTCTGGCGACGCGGGGTCCCCTCGTGCCACCACTTCTGCGGCCTGTCTCATGGTGCCCCTCTGCCCGTCACCCTCCCCAGCTTCCGCTCCAGGCCCTCAAGGACCAGGCCGGCTCTGCGATGCCCTCTCCTGGCCATGGGCAGGACGGCATGGCCTCCTGTGAGTGCCAGTGGGCTCGCGGGTGGACTGGGCATCGGGTGTCGGGCAGGCTGGGACCTCCGGCAGCCTCACCTCACCCTCGTCCCGCAGACGGCTGTTGTCACGGGCAGTCCTCCGGCAGAGGACGGCCCTGCTGGAGAGATGCCCGAAGCCTGGCTCTTCCCCATGAGGCCGTACCCTTGGGCCATTGGTGCTTCCTGGTCTGGGGCTGGGCGGCTGGGGGTCCTAGAGCTGAGACGGGCAGGGGACACCCTGTGCTCTGCAGGGCGGGCCCCCTGGCCGCGATCACGTCGTGCTGACCAGGGCCCGCAGAGCTCTGGGAGCTGGTGTGGGAGCACGGGGCTCGTGTGCTGGTCTCCCTGTGCCTGCCAGACTCCTGGGAGAAGGTGAGGGAACAGGGGCAGAGGGTGGGATGCCTGGGGGTTGGGGTGGGGGTGTGGTGTGACCGGGGCCTGGGTGGGGATGGGCTGGCCGGCCGAGCAGCCCTGACCCGGTCTGGCCACAGGAGTTCTGGCCCACGGAGTCACAGCCCGTCACCACGGACGTGGTGACCGTGTGCTGGGTGGCTGAGAGCAGCGCTGCAGGCTGGCCCTGCACCCTCCTCAGCATCACACGTGTAAGCTAGGGCCGTGGGCTGGGGGTGGGCTCCGCGGAGCAGTCCCGGCCCCTCCAGGCACCGGTGCCAACGTCTTTGCCCAGAGGGGGAGCAGGGAGCAGAGGCCGATGCAGAGGCTGCAGCTGCCGTGTGGGGAGCAGGGCAGGAGCTCCCCACCATGACCCTGCTGCCCTTCCTGGCTGCCGCGGGCCCGTGCTGCTCCCGGGGCGTGGAGAAGCCAGGCACGCTGCTCGGCCACTGCAGGTGCCGCTGGACGGGGCCCTGGAGGAGCAGGCAGAGACCCCGCTGCCCCGTGGCTTGGGGTGCGGGTCCGGACACAGCCCCCTCCTCACTCTGCCCTGACGTCGTCTTTCGGGAATCTGTCCCCGTCCCCCCCCCCCCCCCCCCCCACAACACACATACTTTTCAAAACATCCCCAAGATTTCCAGCTCCCTTTACTTCCATCCCCCCCCCCCCCCCCCCCACCGACGCCTGCCGGCCCCGTGCCGTGAAGGGGCCGAGTTGGGGAATAAGGGATGTGGTCAAGCCAGAGGCCGAGTGCGTTCTGTCCATCCATTCCAGGGCCTGGTGGGAAACAGGAGCGGGGCTGGGGGGGCCTGGCGGGTGGCTTTCGCGGGGCAGCCCCCAGCCCCACCCTCCAGTTTCCCCATTCATCAGATCTAGTCTCTAGTGTCCAGGGTGGGGGACGCCCTGGATTCAGAGCAGGTTACTCAGGGCGAGGGGGCACAGCCGCTGCCCTGTGCACAGCAGGACCGGCCTGGCCCTGCTCTCCGCGACCTGGCCTTCCCGTTTCCCGCCGGCGGCAGGCGCGGGGGGGCTCGCTGCTGTGTGGCCAGAGCGGCTGGGTTTTCTCTGCCTCCTTCGCTCCACCACAGTGCGGGAGTCTGGGGAGGGAAAACCAGGAGGAGATGCAGAAAGGAGGGCAGGAGTGCTCACCATGGCGACACCATCACCCACGGCCTCACGAGGGCTCATCCATCCCCTCATCAACCAGGAGGCCCTGGACGGCTGGCGCCAGCAGTGGGGCCCCGGCTGCTCCCGGTAGAGGGCCCGGGGGACACAGAAAGCCTGCACAAACCAGAGCAGGAGGCCCCAAAAGGAGTCAGACCCTGAATCGGGGAGGGGCAGGGCTCTCCTTGGCCGCCCCGAGCTCCTCGTGAAAGGCGAGGGGTCGGAGGCCGGGAGGGCCCTCACGGCCTGTGCAGCAGAAGCTGGAGCAGGGCAGGCTCCCCGCTCACCTGGGCCTCCCCGGGCTGGGCCACACCCTCTTCACACTCGTTCCCTGGAGTCGGGGGTTGGCCCATGACGACCCTCCAGTAGGCGGGCTGGAGCCTCGCGCTGGGCCCGGGCCCTGCCATGCTGAGGGGGCAGCAGGGCCCCCGCACCAGAGCTGCAAAGGAGCAGGGGGGCCGCAGCAAGTGGGGAGTGAGGCCGGGAACACGGCCGAGCCGGGGGGATGGGCAGCGGCCCTGTGGTCTCTCCGGCCCTCCGTGCACAAGGACCACCCAGGCCTTCCTGGGGGCTCATCTACGTCAGGGCCGAGCCCCACGCCCCAGAGGCCAACGGTCGGTTTCCACCTTCCTGGCCCAGCCGTGCAGCCCCTGGGGCCCGGGAGGTGAGAGCAGTAGCAGAGAATGGGAGGGGGGTGATGAGTGGCCCTGGGGGGTGACGGTCCTGGATGAAGGGCCACTGGCTGCCCTGAGGCCTCCAGGCTGCCGCTGTACACTCAGGATGGACCGTGCGGGGGGCAGCAAGGGCAGGAGACGCGGCCGCCTCTCACTCCACCCTGGGCTCGGCCCAGCCACAGTCTCTCCCCCTCAAGCCTCCCGCCTGGCCCTTCCAGCCTCCGGCTGGTGGAGCTGCAGCTGCCGGACTGGCCTCCAGGTGGCGCCAGACTGCCGACTCAGGCCGGCCCGGACCGCCAGGTGGGCGCGTCCCCCAGCCGCGCGCCTGGCTCCATCCCGGGAGCAGGCTCCGGGGCTCCCGGGCTCACAGCTGACTGGGGCCGCGTGCAAGACGCTTTGCGAGTGGACGTCACACCTTCTCTAGTGCGGGGCCTGGGGCTCGGCTGGAAGTCTCCTGTAGCCACCCGACCTCCACCCGCCCCGCGGCTCCGGCCCTTCACGGCTCACCTGGCGAGACGACCTCTCGCTCCCCTCCCCAGGAGCCAGGGTGCGGAGGGTGACCCCGAGTGGTACTTCTGGGGCTTCTCCCCCCCCCCAAGTGGGTGACCTCGAACAAACAAGGTGCTTCCGGGGCCCTCCTCCGATCCCCTGTGGCCCCGAGGCTGTCCGCTCTGGCACAGGGTCCTGAGCCCACAGCCCAAACGCCTGCAGGACCCGCTCTCCGCTCTCCGGGTTGTTTGCTTTTTTCTTTCCTGGACGAAATTCCTGCCAGCTCGGAGGGAAGGAGGGAAGGGGAGTGAGAGGCGAGAAAGTTCCCTGGCTCCGCCCTCCCCTGCCAAGCCCAACCCGTGAAACCCAGGAGTGAAGACCGCGCAGCGACGCCTGCTCCTCTCTGACTGTGCGCCACCGGTGCCCGCCGCCCTCCCGGCCGCCGCGATGCCCAGCGCACCCGGGCTCCGCGCCCTCTGGCTCTGTGCCGCACTCTGCGCCTCCCCGTGCGCCCCCCAGCCTGGCCCGCGGCCCGCCTGCCCGGCCCCCTGCCGCTGCCACGAGGACGGCATCATGCTGTCGGCCGACTGCTCTGAGCGCGGGCTCTCGGCGGTGCCGGGGGACCTGGACCGCCTGACGGCTTACCTGTGAGTACCACGCGCTTCTCCCTGAGCCCGCCTGGCTGCGCGCTGGCCGGGCCGGCCTCAGTCTGGGGCACCTGCGCAGCTGGAGCTCCGAGGCCCAGGCATCTTCTGCCCTGTCCTGGACTGCGGGGCCGTGGTGGGGAGAACAGTCCCAGGCTGAAGGCCAGGCGAGGCCGGGCTTCCCTGACCGCTTCCCAGTTGGCCCCTGTCTTGGGGCTTCATGGTGCGAGCCCAGGCTAGGCGAGAGGTGGGTCTCCGGGCCCTGAGCAGAGGGGCCCAGACTGCCGCCCCTTCTCCTCTTGCTGGTTTCTTCTCCTGCAGAGCAGCGCCCAGGACGGTGGCCGGGACTCAGTGGGGGAGAGGGGAGGGGCCCCGTGGGGGGAAAGATTGTCTGTCCCCGGCCGGGGCAAAGAGAGCAGGGCAGTCACTCGAGCTGGGTGGCCTTGGTGGGGGGTCCCAGAAGCCAGGAGACGGGACTAAGCCACTCTCATCTCATCCAAGACGGACCCTGCTGGCTCCATCTCCCTCCACTGAGGCCTTTGGCTCCCCAGGGGCCTCTCTGAAGTCACGTCCCAAGAGACCATGTTGGAGACACTAATTTGTGGGCAGTGCCAAGCTGAAAACCAGAGAGCTGTTTTTAGAGTCTGAGCTGGGGTGAGATGGTGTGTGAAGTGGACCCTACTGGGGGCAGCTGCCTCTCAGGCATTGAGGGCTGGGGGCTCTGGCCTGGCCACCTGGGCGGGGAGGGAGTGAGCGCGCTCCAGACCACCTCCCCCCC